GTCTAAGCCCACTAACAAGGGAGCTAGAAAGAGGCAGTGAGAGAGAGAGAGAGAGAGAGAGAGAGAGAGAGAGATGTAGAGCACTAGGGGGGAGAGAGAGATGAGGAGGGATGTAGAGCACTAGGGGGGGAGGAGAGAGATGGAGGGATGTAGAGCACTGGGGGAGAGAGAGAGGGAGGGATTGTAGAGCACTTGGGGGGAGAGAGAGAATGGAGGGATGTAGAGCACTCGGGGAGAGAGAGAGAGAGAGATGGAGGATGTAGAGCACTAGGGGGGAGAGAGAGAGATGGAGGGATGTAGAGCACTAGGGGGAGAGAGAGAGATGGAGGGATGTAGAGCACTAGGGGGGGGGAGGAGAGAGAGATGGAGGGATGTAGAGCACTGGGGGAGAGAGAGATGAGAGAAGATGGAGGGATGTAGAGCACTAGGGGGAGAGAGAGAGATGGAGGGATGTAGAGCACTAGGGGGGAGAGAGATGGAGGATGTAGAGCACTAGGGGGAAAGAGATGGAGGGATGTAGAGCACTAGGGAGAGAGAGAGTGGAGGGATGTAGAGCACTAGGGGGAGAGAGAGAGAGGAGGGATGTAGAGCACTAGGGGGAGAGAGAGATGGAGGGATTAGAGCACTAGGGGGGAGAGAGATGGAGGGGATGTAGAGCACTAGGGGAGAGAGAGAGTGGAGGGATTGTAGAGCACTAGGGGGGAGAGAGAGGATGGAGGGATGTAGAGCACTAGGGGGGAGGGAGATGGGAGTAGAGATGGGGGAAAATGGAGGGATGTAGAGCACTAGGGGGAGAGAGAGATGGAGGGATGTAGAGCACTAGGGGGGAGAGAGAGATGGAGGGAGGGATGTAGAGCACTAGGGGGGAGAGAGAGATGGAGGGATGTAGAGCACTAGGGGAGAGAGAGAGATGGAGGGATGTAGAGCACTAGGGGGGAGAAGAGATGGAGAGGAGGGATGTTAGAGCACTTAGGGGGGAGAGAGAGATGGAGGGATGTAGAGCACTAGGGGGGAGAGAGAGAGATGGAGGGATGTAGAGCACTAGGGGGGAGAGAGAGAGATGGAGGGATGTAGAGCACTAGGGGGAGAGAGAGAGATGGAGGGATGTAGAGCACTAGGGTGGAGAGAGGAGAGATGGAGGGATGTAGAGCACTAGGGGGGAGAAGAGAGATGGAGGGATGTAGAGCACTAGGGGGAGAGAGAGAGAGAGATGGAGGGATGTAGAGCACTAGGGGGAGAGAGATGAGATAGACATAGGGGGAGAAGAAGATGGAGGGATGTAAGCACTAGGGGGGAGAGAGAGATGAGGGGGATGTAGAGCACTAGGGGGAGAGAGAGAGAGAGGGGATGTAGAGCACTAGGGGGGAGAGAGAGAGATGGAGGGATGTAGAGCACTAGGGGGGGAGAGGGAGTAGAGATAGGGGAGAGAGGAGGGTGATGTAGAGCACTAGGGGGGAGGAGAGAGATGGAGGGATGTAGAGCACTAGGGGTAGAGAGAGATGGAGGGATGTAGAGCATTTAGGGGGGAGAGAGAGAGAGGGATGTAGAGCACTAGGGGGGAGAGAGGGATGTAGAGCTAGGGGGAGAGAGAGAATGGAGGGATGTAGAGCACTAGGGGGAGAGAGATGGAGGGATGTAGAGCACTAGGGGGGAGAGATGGAGGGATGTAGAGCACTAGGGGGAGAGAGAGAGATGGAGGGATGTAGAGCACTAGGGGGAGAGAGAGAGATGGAGGGATGTAGAGCACTAGGGGGGAGAGAGAGATGGAGGGATGTAGAGCACTAGGGGGAGAGAGAGATGGAGGGATGTAGAGCACTAGGGGGGAGAGAGAGAGATGGAGGGATGTAGAGCACTAGGGGGGAGAGAGAGATGGAGGGATGAAGAGCACTAGGGGAGAGATGGAGGGATATAGAGCACTTGGGGGGCACCTTCATTTTCTAGCAGCAGCTCAAGGTGATCCTGTCTAGGCCTGATTAATCAGACACCGAGTGGAACAACACACACACACACAGCAGAATAGCACACAACACACACACTCCACACTAAATTACATTTATGCAGTTTTCACAATGCAGTAAAATACAGATGGGAACACACAAATCACCATATTGACTGACAGGCACACACACACATACACATACACATACACACATTTTGCTGTGATTAGCTCATCTGTGTATTGATCCGTTGCTTGGTGGATGATTTGGCAAACCCCTATATTCTCTCTCTTCCTCTCTCTCTCCTTCTTTCTCTCTCGCTCTCTCTTCCTCTCTCTCTCGCTCTGTCTCTCTCTGTCTCTCACTCTCTCTCTGTCTCTCACTCTCTCTCTGTCTCTCACTCTCTCTCGCGCTCGCTCTCTCTCTCGCGCTCTCTCTCTCTCGCGCTCTCTCTCTCTCGCGCTCTCTCTCTCTCGCGCTCTCTCTCTCTCGCGCTCGCTCTCCCTCGCTCTGTCTCGCTCTCTCGTGTCTCTCTCTCTCTCTCTCTCTGTTTCTGTGCCTTCTCACTGGCTGGTGGTGTGTTTGCTTTGCTTCCTCCTGTGCATTGCATGGACATACACACACACACGTATACATATACACTGCTCAAAAAAATAAAGGGAACACTAAAATAACACATCCTAGATCTGAATGAATGAAATAATCTTATTAAATACTTTTTTCTTTACATAGTTGTATGTGCTGACAGCAAAATCACACCAAAATGATCAATGGAAATCAAATGTATCAACCCATGGAGGTCTGGATTTGGAGTCACACTCAAAATTAAAGTGGAAAACCACACTACAGGCTGATCCAACTTTGATGTAATGTCCTTAAAACAAGTCAAAATGAGGCTCAGTAGTGTGTGTGGCCTCCACGTGCCTGTATGACCTCCCTACAATGCCTGGGCATGCTCCTGATGAGGTGGCGGATGGTCTCCTGAGGGATCTCCTCCCAGACCTGGACTAAAGCATCCGCCAACTCCTGGACAGTCTGTGGTGCAACGTGGCATTGGTGGATGGAGCGAGACATGATATCCCAGATGTGCTCAATTGGATTCAGGTCTGGGGAACGGGCAGGCCAGTCCATAGCATCAATGCCTTCCTCCTGCAGGAACTGCTGACACACTCCAGCCACATGAGGTCTAGCATTGTCTTGCATTAGGAGGAACCCAGGGCCAACCGCACCAGCATATGGTCTCACAAGGGGTCTGAGGATCTCATCTCGGTACCTAATGGCAGTCAGGCTACCTCTGGCGAGCACATGGAGGGCTGTGCGGCCCCCCAAAGAAATGCCACCCCACACCATGACTGACCCACCGCCAAGCCGGTCATGCTGGAGGATGTTGAAGGCAGCAGAACGTTCTCCACGGCGTCTCCAGACTCTGTCACGTCTGTCACATGTGCTCAGTGTGAACCTGCTTTCATCTGTGAAGAGCACAGGGCGCCAGTGGCGAATTTGCCAATCTTGGTGTTCTCTGGCAAATGACAAACGTCCTGCACGGTGTTGGGCTGTATGCACAACCGCCACCTGTGGACTTCGGGCCCTCATACCACCCTCATGGAGTCTGTTTCTGACCGTTTGAGCAGACACATGCACATTTGTGGCCTGCTGGAGGTCATTTTGCAGGGCTCTGGCAGTGCTCCTCCTTGCACAAAGGCGGAGGTAGCAGTCCTGCTGCTGGGTTGTTGCCCTCCTACGGCCTCCTCCACGTCTCCTGATGTACTGGCCTGTCTCCTGGTAGCGCCTCCATGCTCTGGACACTACGCTGACAGACACAGCAAACCTTCTTGCCACAGCTCGTATTGATGTGCCATCCTGGATGAGCTGCACTACCTGAGCCACTTGTGTGGGTTGTAGACTCAGTCTCATGCTACCACTAGAGTGAAAGCACCGCCAGCATTCAAAAGTGACCAAAACATCAGCCAGGAAGCATAGGAACTGAGAAGTGGTCTGTGGTCACCACCTGCAGAACCACTCCTTTATTGGGGGTGTCTTGCTAATTGCCTATAATTTCCACCTGTTGTCTATTCCATTTGTACAACAGCATATGAAATATATTGTCAATCAGTGTTGCTTCCTAAGTGGACAGTTTGATTTCACAGAAGTGTGATTGACTTGGAGTTACATTGTGTTGTTTAAGTGTTCCCTTTATTTTTTTGAGCAGTGTACATTGAGGATACTCAACATTAAGAACACCTTCCTAATGTTGAGTTGCACCCCCTTTTGCCCTCAGAACAGCTTCAATTTGCCGGGGCATGGACTCTACAAGGTGTCGTAAGCGTTCCACAGGGATGCTGGCCCATGTTGACTCCAGTGCTTCCCACAGGGATGCTGGCCCATGTTGACTCCAACGCTTCCCACAGTTCCGTCAAGTTAGCTGGATGTCCTTTGGGTGGTGGAGCATTCTTGATACACACAGGAAACTGTTGAGCGTGTAAAACCCAGCAGCGTTGCACCTACTACCATACCCCGTTCAAAGGCACTTAAATCTTTTATCTTGCCCATTCACCCTCTAAATGGAACACATACACAATCCATGTCTCAGTTGTCTCAAGGGTTAAAAATCCTTCTTTAACCTGTCACCTCCCCTTCATCTACACTGATTTGAAGTGGATTTAACAGGTGACACCAATAAGGGATCATAGCTTTCACCTGGTCAGTCTATCTCTTGGAAAGCGCAGGTGTTCCTAATGTTATGTACACTCAGTGTACATACACACACATAAATTAATACAACCATTCCTACTACGAACAAGCATGAACATGCAACTCTCTCTCACACACACACACACACACACTCACACACACACACACACACACACACACACACATCAGTACAACCGTTCAGCATAAAAAACCCTGACATAAGCAAACACACACCTCTACCATGACTGTGATTGATGTGCTTGCTTTGCTGTGTTTTTCTTGGCTGTGTTCATTATAATCATGTTATGTTGCTGTTTTAATTTCAGATTTGCATATCCACTCCCACCTCTTCCTCATTTGCATACAGCGAGAATGGCGAGCGGGCACCCCACTGACAAATACAGTTTCATGTACCAACCAGACACGCACAAGAGGTACGACACACACACACACACACACACACACACACACCAGAGGGACAATACACACACACCAGAGGTACAATACACACACACACACACCAGAGGTACAATACACACACACACCAGAGGTACAATACACACACACACCAGAGGTACAATACACACACACACACACACCAGAGGTACAAAACACACACACACAAGACACTCACAAGTGGTACTACTAGTGACACACATACACACCAGACATGTACAAGAGGTAAAACACACACACCAACTCATACTTTCTATGCACTAAGCAAACACACATGAGATATGTACACTTACCAACCAGACACACTCACACCAGTAAGACCTACCTAGTAGGAAGAGGTAAGTACACACATTATGAGGGTGTTATAAACGGTATGATTCGCTCTGTTCATCTCCTCTCTATGAATGTAGGTAGTGTGAGAAAGAGACTGGGCTATGTCGGTTGTTTTGATAAGTAACTTTTCTTCTATACGCTCTAATATGTCCCCTCCCCTCCCCTCCTTGTCCCCTGTCTCTCTCTGCGTGTCCGCTCTCCTCCTATCGCTCCCCCCCTACCCCAACTCATCCTCCCACCCCCACCCCCGCCCGCTCCAAAACCTCCTCCTCTCTCCCCCGCGCCGAACCACCAGCCACCCACCACCTCCTCTCCACACAACACCACCCCCTCCTACCCCCGCCCACTCTCCTCTCCACCCATCCCCCCCATCCCCGAGGAGGATCCCATCTCATAACCACCCAGCGCCTACTCCTCCTTCTCTCCCCCTACCCTCCTCTCTCTCCCTACCCTCCTCCTCTCCCCCCTATTCCCCCTCCTCTCCCTACCATCCTCACTAATCCCCCCCTCTCGTCTCCTACCGTACCTCCCTCTCCCCTTTCTCCTCTCTCTCTCCCTCTCCCCCTAATCTCCCCCTCCCCCTCAGTAAGAACAGATTATCCAGCAGTATGAATCCTCTCTACAATCCAGTTCAGCCTGGATCTCCCTATGGTAACCCCAAGAACATGGCCTACACAGGTGAGACACATACACATACATTACCTTGCTCCCAAACACCAATCAACACACTCTAATCAAACTGAAGTGATTGGGTTAGCTAACGGTAGACAGAAATGACAGAATTAAACAGATCTGTCTGGTCTAAGATGTGCCATGCCGGATCCCTACTAGGAATGTGACAAATGGACAATTTTGGTTAACATTTAAATTGCCATTTATTATAATCTTTCTGTTAAAACAATAAGAAAAAAAATCATAAAATTCCACATCAATTCACAATACAGAATAATGGTCCTATTACGTATGTATGACCCCTAGGGCCGGGAAGTGAAGTTCTATGTACCCTAGTCATATACCATTGAAAGCGCGTCGGCTACGGCATGTTTGTTCGTCTGTAAGGGTACACTACGGCTTTTTAAATGCCGACACGAAACCTCTGAAGATTGTTTCGAAGTGCCACTGAACGGTGATTTTACTTGTCTGTAAAGGAAAGCCACTTCCTGTGCGCTTACCACTCTCTCCTAAAAAAGTACTTTAAAGTTTGTTAAATACCGTGACTTACCAAGACGTATAATATAATAATAATAATATGCCATTTAGCAGACGCTTTTATCCAAAGCGACTTACAGTCATGAAGTAGAATGAAAACACATCGGGCCTCCCGAGTGGCGCAGTGGTTTAAGGTACTGCATCACAGTGCTAGAGGCGTTACTACAGACCGGGGTTCATTCCCGGGCTGTGCTACAAACGGCCGTGGCCGGGAGTCCCATAGGACGGCGCACAATTGGCCCAGCGTCGTCCGGGTTAGGGGAGGGTTTGGCCGGTGGAGCTTTACTTGGCTCATCGCGCTCTAGCGACTCCTAGTGGCGGGCCGGGTGCCTGCAGGCTGACCCCGGTCGCCAGTTGAACAGTGTTTCCTCCGACACATTGGTGCGGCTGGCTTCCGGGTTAAGCTGGCGCGTGTTAAGAAGCGCGGTTAGACGGGTCATATTTAGGAGGACACATGACTCCACCTTCACCTCTCCCGAGCCCGTTGGGGAGTTGCAGCGATGAGACAAGATAGAAAATTGGGGAGAAAAAGGGGGTAAAATACACACAAAAGGGAGAAAAAGAAAGGAGTCGGTAGGAGTCGAATCCTAACATTCATTATTTTTGGAACGGGGGAGACTGATTAGTTGCCGTACTTCCAAGAACACAAACCTTGCATCTTTCATAGAGAACTAGCGAGGGACGGAGAGAGTGAGGAGGGGCACAGTATAGGCAGGTTGGCCACCAGAAAGACGGAGTCAGAACCGTGCACTAGGCCTATCTTATCGGCAATCAAAAGCTTTATCTCGCAATAGAATGCTGTATTGCAAAATACAGCATTCTATTGCAAAATACAGCATTCTATTGCGAGATAAAGCTTTTGATTGCCGATAAGATAGGCATAGTGCACGGTTCTGACTCCGTCTTTCTGGTGGCCAACCAATTTCTTGGCTTGTAATGTCTCGCAACTTCAGTAAAGCAGGGCCTATCATTACTGAATAGGCTAGGATTTTCTACACGCAACAGACCGAAAACTGAACACACACTGGCATCGTTAGTGAAGAGAAAGAGCAGGTGAGCCAGCTGTGATTTTAATTTGGTTAAAAAAAAATTGAAAATATTCTCTTAAGGATTTTCCTTAATGTTTAATGATCCCAGTCGTTTGTTTAAAAGTTTTAACTTTTAAACGTTCACACCCTTAATCCCTACGCCGACAGCAGACTTTCAGGAAGTGAGCGGTCTCATTTACATTACATTTACATTTACGTCATTTAGCAGACTTACAAATTGGGCATTCACCCTATAGCCAGTGGGATAACAACTTTTTTTTTTAGGGGGGGGGGGGGGGGTAGAAGGATTACTTTATCCTATCCTAGGTATTCCTTAAAGAGGTGGGGTTTCAAATGTCTCCGGAAGGTGGTGAGTGACTCCGCTGTCCTGGCGTCGTGAGGGAGCTTGTTCCACCATTGGGGTGCCAGAGCAGCGAACAGTTTTGACTGGGCTGAGCGGGAACTATGCTTCCGCAGAGGAAGGGGAGCCAGCAGGCCAGAGGTGGATGAACGCAATGCCCTCGTTTGGGTGTAGGGACTGATCAGAGCCTGAAGGTACGGAGGTGCCGTTCCCCTCACAGCTCCATAGGCAAGCACCATGGTCTTGTAACAGATGCGAGCTTCAACTGGAAGCCAGTGGAGTGTGCGGAGGAGCGGGGTGACGTGAGAGAACTTGGGAAGGTTGAACACCAGACGGGCTGCGGCATTCTGGATGAGTTGTAGGGGTTTAATGGCACAGGCAGGGAGCCCAGCCAACAGCGAGTTGCAGTAATCCAGACGGGAGATGACAAGTGCCTGGATTAGGACCTGTGCCGCTTCCTGTGTAAGGCAGGGTCGTACTCTCCGAATGTTGTAGGTCTCCTCTACAACCTTCTCCTCTACAACCATCTCCTCTACAACCATTCATTATAACAGGGATGTTATTACTGGGCCTGTATGTCAGTGTGATGGGAAAGAGTGTGACATCCACCATTTATGACTGTCCCCAACCACACAGCTGTCACCTCCACTTACCACACACAGTATTCGGACCCCTTGACTTTTTCCACATTTTGTTAGGTTACAGCCTTATTCTAAAATTGATTAAATTGTTTTTTTCCTCATCAATCTACACACAATACCCCATAATTACAAAGCAAAAACAGTTTTTTATACATTTTTGCTAATTTAAAAATAAATAAAAACGGAAATATTACATTTACATAAGTATTCAGACCCTTTACTCAGTACTTTGTTGAAGCACCTTTGGCAGCGATTACAGCCTCGTGTCTTCTTGGGTATGATGCTACAAGCTTGGCACACCTGTATTTGGGGAGTTTCTCCCATTCTTCTCTGCAGTTCCTCTCAAGCTCTGTCAGATTGAATGGGGAGAGTTGCTGCACAGCTATTTTCAGGTCTCTCCAGAGATGTTCGATCAGGTTTAAGTCTGGGCTCTGGCTGGGCCCCTCAAGGACATTCAGAGACTTGTCCCGAAGCCACTCCTGCGTTGTCTTGGCTGTGTGCTTAGGGTTGTTGTCCTGTTGGAAGGTGAACCTTCGCCCCAGTCTGAGGTCCTGAGAGCTTTGGAGCAGGTTTTCATCAAGGATCTCTCTGTACTTTGCTCCGTTCATCTTTGCCTCGATCCTGACTAGTCTCCCAGTCCCTGCTGCTGGAAAACATCCCCACAGCATGATTCTGCCACCACCATGCTTCACCGTAGGGATGATGCCAGGTTTCCTCCAGACGTGACGCTTGGCATTCAGGCCAAAGAGTTCAGACTTGGTTTCATCAGGCCAGAGAATCTTGTTTCTCATGGTTTGAGAGTCTTTAGGTGCCTTTTGGCAAACTCCAAGCGGGCTGTCATGTGCCTTTTTACTGAGGAGTGGCTTCCGTCTGGTCACTCTACCATGAAGGCCTGATTGGTGGAGTGCTGCAGAGATGGTTGTCCTTCTGGAAGGTTCTCCCATCTCCACAGAGGAACGCTAGAGCTCTGTAAGAGTGACCATCGTGTTCTTGGTCACCTCCCTGACCAAGGCCCTTCTCCCCCGATTGCTCAGTTTGGCCAGGCGGCCAGCTCTAGGAAGAGTCTTGGTGGTTCCAAACTTCTTCCATTTAAGAATAATGGAGGCCACTGTGTTTTTGGGGACTTTCAATGCACTTTCAATGCTGCAGAAATGTTTTGGTACCCTTCCCCAGATCTGTGCATCGACACAATCCTGTCTCTGTGCTCTACGGACAATTCCTTCAACCTCACGGCATGGTTTTTGCTCTGACATGCACTGTCAACTGTGGGACCAAATCATGTCCAATCATTTGAAGTTACCACAGGTGGACTCCAATCAAGTTGTAGAAACATCTCAAGAATGATCAATGGAAACAGGATGCGCCTGAGCTCAATTTCGAGTATCATAGCAAAGAGTCTGAATACTTTTGTAAATAAGGTATTTCTGTTTTTTAAATTGGCAAACATGTGTACATCTGTTTTCACTTTGTCATTATGGGTTATTGTGTGTAGATTGCTGAGGATTTGTATTTATTTAATCAATTTTAGAATAAGTCTGTAACGTAACAAAATGTGGAAAAAGTAAAGGGGTCTGAATACTTTCCGACGGCACTGTACATATACATACTGTTAGCAGTTGATGTTATACTTCAATAACACAGACCCCAAAGCAAATCAGCGGGATAAAAAAATATTTATTCAGAGAGAACAAATCATAGTTGTTATGCTGTAAAGTAGATGGTAGATGTTCATTCTTCCTTGTATCAATGTTTCTCCACTGAACAAAGAGACAGGATGTAGTTTATACCCAAGCCTAGCTTGTGGTTGACCAATTACAATTCCTTGCAACAAAATTGGGCCAATACCAAGTATCCTGTTTCAGGCTCAATGTATAGACAATTTGGACCAATGAGAACTTGCCACAGCTATGTGTCCCGGGCTGGAACCCCTACACAGATTCTAAACAGATGTTGAACTGAAAAACACTTATTTCCATTGATCGTTAATTCCCTCTTGACCTCTAGTCCTCTGCATTGTGTATTTATCTTAGAATATTCTTACAATACATGCATACAGTGAGGGAAAAAGTATTTGATCCCCTGCTGATGTTGTACGTTTGCCCACTGACAAAGACATGATCAGTCTATAATTTTAATGGTAGGTTTATTTGAACAGTGAGAGACAGAATAACAACAAAAAATCCAGAAAAACGCATGTCAAAAATTTTATAAATTGATTTGCATTTTAATGAGGGAAATAAGTGTTTGACCCCTCTTCAAAACATGACTTAGTACTTGGTGGCAAAACCCTTGTTGGCAATCACAGAGGTCAGACGTTTCTTGTAGTTGGCCACCAGGTTTGCACACATCTCAGGAGGGATTTTGTTCCACTCCTCTTTGCAGATCTTCTCCAAGTCATTAAGGTTTCGAGGCTGACGTTTGGCAACTCGAATCTTCAGCTCCCTCCACAGATTTTCTATGGGATTAAGGTCGAGAGACTGGCTAGGCCGCTCCAGGACCTTAATGTGCTTCTTCTTGAGCCACTCCTTTGTTGCCTTGGCCGTGTGTTTTGGGTAATTGTCATGCTGGAATACCCATCCACAACCCATTTTCAATGCCCTGGCTGAGGGAATGAGGTTCTCATCCAAGATTTGACGGTGCATGGCCCGTCCATCGTCCCTTTGATGCGGTGAAGTTGTCCTGTCCCCTTAGCAGAAAAACACCCCCAAAGCATAATGTTTCCACCTCCATGTTTGACGGTGGGGATGGTGTTCTTGGGGTCATAGGCAGCATTCCTCCTCCTCCAAACATGGCGAGTTGAGTTGATGCCAAAGAGCTCGATTTTGGTCTCATCTGACCACAACACTTTCACCGAGTTCTCCTCTGAATCATTCAGGTGTTCATTGGCAAACTTCAGACGGCCCTGTATATGTGCTTTCTTGAGCAGGGGGACCTTGCGGGCGCTGCAGGATTTCAGTCCTTCACGGCATAGTGTGTTACCAATTGTTTTCTTGGTGACTATGGTCCCAGCTGCCTTGAGATCATTGACAAGATCCTCCCGTGTAGTTCTGGGCTGATTCCTCACCGTTCTCATGATCATTGCAACTCCACGAGGTGAGATCTTGCATGGAGCCCCAGGCCGAGGGAGATTGACAGTTATTTTGTGTTTATTCCATTTGCGAATAATCGCACCAACTGTTGTCACCTTCTCACCAAGCTGCTTGGCGATGGACTTGTAGCCCATTCCAGCCTTGTGTAGGTCTACGATCTTGTCCCTGACATACTCGGAGAGCTCTTTGGTCTTGGCCATGGTGGAGAGTTTGGAATCTGATTGATTGATTGCTTCTGTGGACAGGTGTCTTTTATACAGGTAACAAGCTGATATTAGGAGCACTCCCTTTAAGAGTGTGCTCCTAATCTCAGCTCGTTACCTGTATAAAAGACACCTGGGAGCCAGAAATCTTTCTGATTGAGAGGGGGTCAAATACTTATTTCCCTCATTTAAAATGCAAATCAATTTATAACATTTTTGACATGCGTTTTTCTGGAATTTTTTTTGTTATTCTGTCTCACTGTTCAAATAAACCTACCATTTAAAATTATAGACTGATCATTTCTTTGTCAGTGGGCAAACGTACAAAATCAGCAGGGGATCAAATACTTTTTTCCCTCACTGTACATACATACATACACTACATGACCAAAAGTATGTGCATACCTGCTCGTCGAACATCTCATTCCAAAATCCTGGGCATTAATATGGAGTTGGTCCCCCCTTTGCTGCTATAACAGCCTCCACTCTTCTGGGAAGGCTTTATTTCCAGCCACAAGTGCATTAGTGAGGTCGGGCACGGATGTTGGGCGATTAGTCCTGGCTCGCAGTCAGCGTTCCAATTCATCCCAAAGGTGTTCGATGGGGTTGAGGTCAGGGCTCTGTGCAGGCCAGTCAAGTTCTTCCACACTGATCTCGACAAACCATTTCTGTATGGACCTCGCTTTGTGCACAGGGGCATTGTCATGCTGAAACTGGAAAGGCCTTCCCCAAACTGATGCCAGAAAGTTGGAAGCACAGAATCGTCTAGAATGTCATTGTATGCTGTAACTTTAAGATTTCCCTTCACTGGAACTAAGGGGCCTAGCCCGAACCATGAAAACAATCCCCAGACCATTATTCCTCCTCCATCAAACTTTACAGTTGGCACTATGCATTGGGGCAGGTAGCCTTCTCCTGTCATCCGCCAAACCCAGATTCGTCCGTCGGACTGCCAAATGGTGAAGCGTGATTCCTCATTCCAGAGAACACATTTCCACTGCTCCAGAGTCCAATGGCGGCAAGCTTTACACCACTCCAACCGACGCTTGGCATTGCCATGGTGATCTTAGCTTGCGGCTGCTTGGCCATTGAAACCCATTTCATGAAGCTCCCGACGAACAGTTCTCGTGCTGACGTTGCTTCCAGAGGCAGTTTGGAACTCGGTAGTGAGTGTTGCAACCAAGGACAGACAATTTTTACACGCTATGCACTTCATCACTCAGCGGTCCCATTCTGTGAGCTTGTGTGGCCTACTATTTCGCGGCTGAGCCGTTGTTGCTCCTAGACGTTTCAACTCAACAATAACAGCACATACAGTTGACCGGGCAGCACTAACAGGGCAGAACTGACATGTTGGAAAGGTGGCATCCTATGACGGTGCCACGTTGAAAGTCACTGAGCTCTTCAGTAAGGCCAATCTACTGCCAGTGTTTGTCTATGGAGATTGCAAGGCTGTGTGCGGAGTGTCCACATACATTTGTATATATAGTGTACACACACACACACAGCAACATGGATGCGACCTGTGTGTCATGCTTCTCCTCGCCATCCTCTCTCTCGCTCCATCCCACCTCTTTCTCTCTTCCTGTTCTTCTGTGTCTACTTCCTTCATTTACACTCTCTTTCATCTTCCTCCATCTCTCCATCTTTCTCGTTCCCTCCCTCTCTCCTTCCCCCTCTCATTTCTCACCCTCCTCCCACACAGTGTCTCGTTAGTGGTTAGAATGGGGGTTGTAATGTCTGCTAATTTGGTGAGACGATTAGCTGTCTCCTCTTATCATTACTGTGTATTAACCCTGTGTGTTTGTGTGTTTAATGAAGACAGATTAACAGCTAGAACAGACACTATTCAACCTGCTGTAGTATCCTGATGTTTTGTTTAGCAGTCTATATGCAAGTGTTTATGCACCTTGCAGTGTGTTCTTTGTGACACAGGCGCCATGTTCTACTGTCCACACACACACACACACACACACACACACACACACACACACACACACACACACACACACACACACACACACAGGTGTTAACTCAGCAGGAGAGCTCTCCCCTTCGTGCTGTGTTTTAGAGCCATATGCAGACATCCAGTAAGACCAAGATATAGGCCTCTATATACAGTCGTGGTCAAACGTTTTGAGAATGACACAAATACTAATTTTCACAAAGTCTGCTGCCTCAGTTTTGATGATGGCAATTTGCATATACTCCAGAATATCATGAAGAGTGATCAGATGAATTGCAATTAATTGCAAAGTCCCTCTTTGCCATGAAAATGAAGTTAATCCCCAAAAAACGTTTCCACTGCATTTCAGCCCTGCCACAAAAGGACCAGCTGCCATCATGTCAGTGATTCTCTCGTTAACACAGGTGAGAGTGTTGACGAGGACAAGGCTGGGGGATCACTCTGACATGCTGATTGAGTTTGAATAACAGACTGGAAGCTTTAAAAGGAGGGTGGTGCTTGAAATCATTGTTCTTCCTCTGTTAACCATGGTTACCTGCAAGGAAACACGTGCCGTCATCATTGCTTTGCACAAAAAGGGCTTCACAGGCAAAGATATTGCTTCTAGTAAGATTGCACCTAAATCAAACATTTATCGGATCATCAAGAACTTCAAGGAGAGAGGTTCAATTGTTGTGAAGAAGGCGTCAGGGCGCCCAAGAAAGTCCAACAAGCGCCAGGACCATCTCCTAAAGTTGATTCAGCTGCGGGATCGGGGCACCACCAGTGCAGAGCTTGCTCAGGAATGGCAGCAGGCAGGTGTGAGTGCATCTGCACGCACAGTGAGGATAAGACTTTTGGAGGATGGCATGGTGTCAAGAAGGGCAGCAAAGAAGCCACTTCTCTCCAGGAAAAACATCAGGGACAGACTGATGTTCTGCAAAAGGTACAGGGATTGGACTGCTGAGGACTGGGGTAAAGTCATTTTCTCTGATGAATCCCATTTCCGATTGTTTGGGGCATCCGGAAAAAACCTTGTCCGGAGAAGACAAGGTGAGCGCTACCATCAGTCCGGTGTCATGCCAACAGTAAAGCATCCTGAGACCATTCATGTGTGGGGTTGCTTCTCAGCCAAGGGAGTGGGCTCACTCACAATTTTGCCTAAGACCGCAGCCATGAATAAAGAATGGTACCAACACATCCTCCGAGAGCAACTTCTCCCAACCATCCAAGAACAGTTTGGTGACAACCAATGCCTTTTTCCAGCATGATGGAGCACCTTGCCATAAGGCAAAAGTGATAACTAAGTGGCTTGGGGAAAAAAACATTGACATTTTGGGTCCATGGCCAGGAAACTCCCCAGACCTTAATCCCATTGAGAACTTGTGGTCGATCCTCAAGAGGTGGGTGGAAAAAACCCACAAATTCTGACAAACTCCAAGCATTGATTATGCAAGAATGGGCTGTCATCAGTCAGGATGTGGCCCAGAAGTTAATTGACAGCATGCCAGGGTGGATTTCAGATGACTTGAAAAAGAAGGGTCAACACTGCAAATATTGACTCTTTGCATGAACTTAATGTAATTGTCAATAAAAGCCTTTGACACTTATGGAATGCTTGTAATTATACTTCAGTATACCATATTAACATCTGACAAAAAGATATCATAACACTGAAGCAGTGAACTTTGTGAAGACCAATACTTGTGTCATTATCAAAACTTTTGACCACGACTGTACACTACCATTCAAAAATTTGGGGTCATTTAGAAATGTCCTTGTTTTCGAAAGAAAATCTTTTTATTTTACATTTTTACATTTTAGTCATTTAGCAGACGCTCTTATCCAGAGCGACTTACAGTTAATGAATACATGTTTTTTTTTTTATACTGGCCCCCCGTGGGAATTGAACCCACAACCCTGGCGTTGCAAACGCCATGTTCTATCAACTGAGCTACATCCCTGCCGGCCATTCTCTCCCCTACCCTGGACGACGCTGGGCCAATTGTGCGCCGCCCATGAGTCTCCCGGTCGCGGCCGGCTGCGACAGAGCCTGGATTCGAACCAGGATCTCTAGTGGCACAGTTAGCACTGCGATGCAGTGCCTTAGACCACTGCGCCACTCTACAACATTACAATAACATCAAATTGATCAGAAATACAGTGTAGACATTGTTAATGTTGTAAATGGCTATTGTAGCTGGAAACTGCTGATTTTTTATGGAATATCTACATAGGCGTACAGAGGCCCATTTATCAGCAACCATCAGTCCTGTGTTCCAATGGCACATTGTGGCTCAAAATGGCCAGAAACAAATAACTTTCTTCTGAAACTCGTCAGTCTATTCTTGTTCTGAGAAATTAAGGCTATTCTATGCGAGAAATTGCAGAGAAACTGAAGATCTCGTATCAGTTACTACTCCCTTCACAGAACAGCGCAAACTGGCTCTAACCAGAATAGAAAGAGGAGTGGGTGGCCCCGGTGCACAACTGAGCAAGAGGACAAATGCATTATTGTCTAGTTTGAGAAACAGACGCCTCACAGGTCCTCAACTGGCAGCTTCATTAAATAGTACCCGCAAAACACCAGTCTCAACGTCAACAGTGAAGAGGCGACTCCGGGATGCTGACCTTCTAGGCAGAGTTGCAAAGAAAAAGCCATATCTCAGACTGCCCATCTTAATCTTTTCTTTTTATTGGCCAGTCTGAGATATTGCTTTAATTTCTCAGAACAAGAATAGACTGACGAGTTTCAGAAGAAAGTTATTTGTTTCTGGCCATTTTGAGCCTTTAATCGAACCCACAATTGCTGATGCTCCAGATACTCAACTAGTCTCAAGAAGGCCTGTTTTATTGCTTCTTTAATCAGCACAACAGTTTTCAGCTGTGCTAATATAATTGCAAAAGGGTTTTCTAATGATCAATTAGCCATTTAAAATGATAAACTTGGATTGCTTTTCTTTCGAAAACAAGGACATTTCTAAGTGACCCCAAACTTTTGAACGGTTGTGTGTGTGTGTGTGTGTGTGTGTGTGTGTGTGTGTGTGTGTGTGTGTGTGTGTGTGTGTGTGTGTGTGTGTGTGTGTGTGTGTGTGTGTGTGTGTATATATCACACACACACACACACACACACACACACACACATCAGTACAACCGTTCAGCATAAAAAACCCTGACATAAGCAAACACACACCTCTACCATGACTGTGATTGATGTGCTGTGTGTTTGTCCTAGGTTAAGGGGTTCCTTTGTATTAATATCTTCCTATGTCAATGTTTACAATTGTACATTCACCCCAGAGTGTGTTGTATACCAGTGTGTGTGTTGTGTTAATCCGAGTGTGTGTTATTGAGACAGACAATGTGTAATGAACACCATCTGTGCACAGTAACTACCCACTCTCTGCGTACTGGTGTGTCTCTGGCACGCTCTCTCAAGGCATCTGCATACATAGGTTCGGTTTGCGCCTAGCAGAACTCGGCTAGGAGAAGTGAACGTATGTGCTCGCATACTCCCTTAAAATACCTTCCCTTGAAAAACAAGAAGAAAAGGATAATATTAGTGTTTGTCCCTCTCGAGACGTCAAACCAACAACATACCCTGTAGCACTTCCTCAAAATTAGTCAGAATCAATCTAAGATAAATTAAGAAATATGTCATTAATGTTGGCGTTTTTGCCGGGGTAATTTGACATCAAGTGAAAAAATGTTTTGTTTCTCGTTGAATGACAACATACACTTTATTGAAGAATCATCAACGAAGGGCCGTGGACTTCGGCTACCGAACTTCGGCTTGCCTCAGGAAAAAAATGTGTGTGCACGAACAGCCGAAAAAAAACAGGAGACCAAAACGAACAAAAACATCTCAGAATTGTCATAATATATTCACAAACTGTTTTGAGCTGTTTCGGATGGGAAGCATGCGGGCGCCTTAAGACTCTCTCTTGTCCTTTGTCTGTAGGCTACCCAGGAGGTTATCCCACTGCTGCTCCCACCTACACACCCAACCTCTACCAAACGGGTAGTCCAGGGTACCCACCAGGTAAGAACACACACACACACACACACACACACACAGAGGAAACAAACGGCTTATCGCAGTGTTTATTAACAATTTCATAAATCATCACCTAGCTATACTTGAGGCTTATAGCAGTGACACTTGTGTGTAGAGTTACTACTGTAGCTGTCAGCTAGCTCTAGGAGGTAGTTACTACTGTAGCTGTCAGCTAGCTCTAGGAGGTAGTTACTACTGTAGCATTCAGCTAGCTCTAGGAGGTAGTTACTACTGTAGCTGTCAGCTAGCTCTAGGAGGTAGTTACTACTGTAGCTTTCAGCTAGCTCTAGGAGGTAGTTACTACTGTAGCTGTCAGCTAGCTCTAGGAGGTAGTTACTACTGTAGCTGTCAGCTAGCTCTAGGAGGTAGTTACTACTGTAGCATTCAGCTAGCTCTAGGAGGTAGTTACTACTGTAGCTGTCAGCTAGCTCTAGGAGGTAGTTACTACTGTAGCTGTCAGCTAGCTCTAGGAGGTAGTTACTACTGTAGCTGTCAGCTAGCTCTAGGAGGTAGTTACTACTGTAGCATTCAGCTAGCTCTAGGAGGTAGTTACTACTGTAGCTGTCAGCTAGCTCTAGGAGGTAGTTACTACTGTAGCTGTCAGCCAGCTCTAGGAGGTAGTTACTACTGTAGCTTTCAGCCAGCTCTAGGAGGTAGTTACTACTGTAGCTGTCAGCTAGCTCTAGGAGGTAGTTACTACTGTAGCTGTCAGCTAGCTCTAGGAGGTAGTTACTACTGTAGCTGTCAGCCAGCTCTAGGAGGTAGTTACTACTGTAGCTGTCAGCTAGCTCTAGGAGGTAGTTACTACTGTAGCTGTCAGCTAGCTCTAGGAGGTAGTTACTACTGTAGCTGTCAGCTAGCTCTAGGAGGTAGAGCTGCTACTGTAGCTGTCAGCCAGATCTAGGAGGTAGTTACTACTGTAGCTGTCAGCTAGCTCTAGGAGGTAGTTACTACTGTAGCTGTCAGCTAGCTCTAGGAGGTAGTTACTACTGTAGCTGTCAGCTAGCTCTAGGAGGTAGTTACTACTGTAGCATTCAGCTAGCTCTAGGAGGTAGTTACTACTGTAGCTGTCAGCTAGCTCTAGGAGGTAGTTACTACTGTAGCTGTCAGCTAGCTCTAGGAGGTAGTTACTACTGTAGCATTCAGCTAGCTCTAGGAGGTAGTTACTACTGTAGCTGTCAGCTAGCTCTAGGAGGTAGTTACTACTGTAGCTGTCAGCTAGCTCTAGGAGGTAATTACCACTGTAGCTGTCAGCTAGCTCTAGGAGGTAGTTACTACTGTAGCTGTCAGCTAGCTCTAGGAGGTAGTTACTACTGTAGCTGTCAGCTAGCTCTAGGAGGTAGTTACTACTGTAGCTTTCAGCTAGCTCTAGGAGGTAGTTACTACTGTAGCATTCAGCTAGCTCTAGGAGGTAGTTACTACTGTAGCTGTCAGCCAGCTCTAGGAGGTAGAGTTACTACTGTAGCTTTCAGCTAGCTCTAGGAGGTAGTTACTACTGTAGCTGTCAGCTAGCACTAGGAGGTAGAGTTACTACTGTAGCTGTCAGCCAGCTCTAGGAGGTAGTTAGTACGGTAGCTATCAGCTAGCTCTAGGAGGTAGAGTTACTACTGTAGCTGTCAGCTAGCTCTAGAAGGTAGAGCTGCTACTGTAGCTGTCAGCCAGCTCTAGGAGGTAGAGTTACCACTGTAGCTGTCAGCTAGCACTAGGAGGTAGTTACTACTGTAGCTGTCAGCTAGCTCTAGGAGGTAGAGCTGCTACTGTAGCTGTCAGCCAGCTCTAGGAGGTAGAGTTACCACTGTAGCTGTCAGCTAGCACTAGGAGGTAGTTACTACTGTAGCTGTCAGCCAGCTCTAGGAGGTAGTTAGTACGGTAGCTATCAGCTATCTCTAGGAGGTAGAGTTACTACTGTAGCTGTCAGCTAGCTCTAGGATGTAGTTACTACTGTAGCTTTCAGCTAGCTCTAGGAGGTAGAGTTACCACTGTAGCTGTCAGCTAGCACTAGGAGGTAGTTACTACTGTAGCTGTCAGCCAGCTCTAGGAGGTAGTTAGTACGGTAGCTATCAGCTATCTCTAGGAGGTAGAGTTACTACTGTAGCTGTCAGCTAGCTCTGGGAGGTAGTTACTACTGTAGCTGTCAGCTAGCTCTAGGAGGTAGTTACTACTGTAGCTATTAGCTAGCTCTAGGAGGTAGAGCTGCTACTGTAGCTGTCAGCCAGCTCTAGGAGGTAGAGTTACCACTGTAGCTGTAAGCTAGCTCTAGGAGGTAGTTACTACTGTAGCTGTCAGCCAGCTCTAGGATGTAGTTACTACTGTAGCTGTCATGTAGCTCTAGGAGGTAGTTACTACTGTAGCTGTCAGCTAGCTCTAGGAGGTAGTTACTACTGTAGCTTTCAGCTAGCTCTAGGAGGTAGTTACTACTGTAGCATTCAGCTAGCTCTAGGAGGTAGTTACTACTGTAGCTGTCAGCCAGCTCTAGGAGGTAGTTAGTACGGTAGCTATCAGCTATCTCTAGGAGGTAGAGTTACTACTGTAGCTGTCAGCTAGCTCTAGGAGGTAGTTACTACTGTAGCTGTCAGCTAGCTTAGGAGGTAGTTACTACTGTAGCTGTCAGCTAGCTCTGAGGAGGTTAGTTACTACTAGTAGCTGTCAGCTAGCTCTGGAGGTAGTTACTACTGTAGCTATCAGCTAGCTCTAGGAGGTAGAGTACTACTGTAGCTGTCAGCTAGCTAGGATGTAGTTACTACTGTAGCTTTCAGCTAGCTCTAGGAGGTAAGTTACCACTGTAGCTGTCAGCTAGCACTAGGAGGTAGTTACTACTGTAGCTGTCAGGTAGCTCTAGGAGGTAGAGTTACTACTGTAGCTGTCAGCCAGCTCTAGGATGTAGTTACTACTGTAGCTGTCAGGTAGCTCTAGGAGGTAGAGTTACTACTGTAGCTGTCAGGTAGCTCTAGGAGGTAGTTACTACTGTAGCTATCAGCTAGCTCTAGGAGGTAGAGTTACTACTGTAGCTGTCAGCTAGCTCTAGGATGTAGTTACTACTGTAGCTTTCAGCTAGCTCTAGGAGGTAGAGTTACCACTGTAGCTGTCAGCTAGCACTAGGAGGTAGTTACTACTGTAGCTGTCAGCCAGCTCTAGGAGGTAGTTAGTACGGTAGCTATCAGCTAGCTCTAGGAGGTAGAGTTACCACTGTAGCTGTCAGCTAGCTCTAGGAGGTAGAGTTACTACTGTAGCTGTCAGCTAGCTCTAGGAGGTAGTTACTACTGTAGCTGTCAGCTAGCTCTGGGAGGTAGTTACTACTGTAGCTATTAGCTAGCTCTAGGAGGTAGAGCTGCTACTGTAGCTGTCAGCCAGCTCTAGGAGGTAGAGTTACCACTGTAGCTGTAAGCTAGCTCTAGGAGGTAGTTACTACTGTAGCTGTCAGCCAGCTCTAGGATGTAGTTACTACTGTAGCTGTCAGGTAGCTCTAGGAGGTAGTTACTACTGTAGCTGTCAGCTAGCTCTAGGAGGTAGTTACTACTGTAGCTGTCAGCTAGCTCTAGGAGGTAGAGTTACTACTGTAGCTGTCAGCTAGCTCTAGGATGTAGTTACTACTGTAGCTGTCAGCCAGCTCTAGGAGGTAGTTACTACTGTAGCTGTCAGCTAGCTCTAGGAGGTAGTTACTACTGTAGCTGTCAGCTAGCTCTAGGAGGTAGTTACTACTGTAGCTTTCAGCTAGCTCTAGGAGGTAGAGTTGCTACTGTAGCTGTCAGCTAGCTCTAGGAGGTAGTTACTACTGTAGCTTTCAGCTAGCTCTAGGAGGTAGTTACTACTGTAGCTGTCAGCTAGCTCTAGGAGGTAGTTACTACTGTAGCTGTCAGCTAGCTCTAGGAGGTAGTTACTACTGTAGCATTCAGCTAGCTCTAGGAGGTAGTTACTACTGTAGCTGTCAGCTAGCTCTAGGAGGTAGTTACTACTGTAGCTGTCAGCTAGCTCTAGGAGTTAGAGTTACTACTGTAGCTGTCAGCTAGCTCTGGGAGGTAGAGTTACTACTGTAGCTGTCAGCCAGCTCTAGGAGGTAGTTACTACTGTAGCTGTCAGCTAGCTCTAGGAGGTAGTTACTACTGTAGCTTTCAGCTAGCTCTAGGAGGTAGTTACTACTGTAGCTATCAGCTAGCTCTAGGATGTAGTTACTACTGTAGCTATCAGCTAGCTCTAGGAGGTAGTTACTACTGTAGCTATTAGCTAGCTCTAGGAGGTAGAGCTGCTACTGTAGCTGTCAGCCAGCTCTAGGAGGTAGAGTTACCACTGTAGCTGTCAGCTAGCTCTAGGAGGTAGTTACTACTGTAGCTGTCAGCTAGCTCTAGGAGGTAGAGTTACCACTGTAGCTGTCAGCTAGCTCTAGGATGTAGTTACTACTGTAGCTGTCAGCTAGCTCTGGGAGGTAGTTACTACTGTAGCTGTCAGCTAGCTCTAGGAGGTAGTTACTACTGTAGCTGTCAGCTAGCTCTAGGAGGTAGTTACTACTGTAGCTGTCAGCTAGCTCTAGGAGGTAGTTACTACTGTAGCTATCAGCTAGCTCTAGGATGTAGTTACTACTGTAGCTATCAGCTAGCTCTAGGAGGTAGTTACTACTGTAGCTGTCAGCTAGCTCTAGGAGGTAGTTACTACTGTAGCATTCAGCTAGCTCTAGGAGGTAGTTACTACTGTAGCTGTCAGCTAGCTCTAGGAGGTAGTTACTACTGTAGCTGTCAGCTAGCTCTAGGAGGTAGTTACTACTGTAGCTTTCAGCCAGCTCTATGAGGTAGTTACTACTGTAGCTGTCAGCTAGCTCTAGGAGGTAGTTACTACTGTAGCTATCAGCTAGCTCTAGGAGGTAGAGTTACTACTGTAGCTGTCAGCTAGCTCTAGGAGGTAGTTACTACTGTAGCTGTCAGCTAGCTCTAGGAGGTAGTTACTACTGTAGCTGTCAGCTAGCTCTAGGAGGTAGTTACTACTGTAGCTTTCAGCCAGCTCTAGGAGGTAGTTACTACTGTAGCATTCAGCTAGCTCTAGGAGGTAGTTACTACTGTAGCTGTCAGCTAGCTCTAGGAGGTAGTTACTACTGTAGCTGTCAGCTAGCTCTAGGAGGTAGTTACTACTGTAGCTGTCAGCTAGCTCTAGGAGGTAGTTACTACTGTAGCTTTCAGCTAGCTCTAGGAGGTAGAGTTGCTACTGTAGCTGTCAGCTAGCTCTAGGAGGTAGTTGCTACTGTAGCTGTCAGCTAGCTCTAGGAGGTAGTTACTACTGTAGCTGTCAGCCAGCTCTAGGAGGTAGTTACTACTGTAGCTGTCAGCCAGCTCTAGGAGGTAGTTACTACTGTAGCTGTCAGCCAGCTCTAGGAGGTAGTTACTACTGTAGCTGTCAGCCAGCTCTAGGAGGTAGTTACTACTGTAGCTGTCAGCTAGCTCTAGTTTTTCTCTTGTTATGTCAGTCACTGATAGTCACTAAATTAGCCCATGTCAGCTAACATTTTTTGATCGGTAAGTTAGTGTAGCGGCCAGCTATCTAAACTTAGTAATCATGGTCGAATTACCATTCGGGGGGCCTCCATTCATTTTGTTAGTCACTCTTACTCAGATATAATATTAAAAAACTGCAAACAATTCTCTCCAACCAATGGCAAATGGATGTGGGTACGCAGACCCGTGAGCAACTGTGGCCCCTCGTGATGAGTTCAGCTTTTTTGTGGCCCCCACCCCCATCAAAGTTGCCCGTCCCTGCTCTAGGAGGTGGAGGGTAAAGGCATTACTGGCCAGTATATATTCTGAAGGTCTGAGTGATAGTGACTGACAGGCTCACTGCTGGGAGGGTCTGTCCCCACCCCGTCTGTGTCCACAGCAGATGGGCTGGCAGTGGTCCTCATGCTCCACACACACACACTGTGTTAGTGGAACAGCAGACCCACTAGACTAGAACAGTAGTGTGTAAAGTGTTCGGGTGATTGTGTCCAAGGTTTGGCGAAGGATGTTCCATTGTTTGGTAGAAATCTAAAGCTATCCTGATGAAGACCGCTTGCTGTTGAAACGTTGGTGAATAAATGATTGCATCGGAGCTACTGGAATGGCTTTTCCTTTTTTCCCGGAATCTAAAGTTAACATGACCTTCTCGTCTCCACCTTCTGGCCCCAGTGATTATCTGCTGGGTTACATGAGGAACAGCGCTAGACTTCAACGTTCTGAATAGCCTACCCCCTCAAGTCATTTTTAGAGGGCAGCACTGTGATTAATACATTGTCCACATACTATTCATTCACCCCCATGGCCTTCAGACTGGACACAATAACACAGACTGATATCAGCTTCGCACTGATGCTTGTGTAACTGCCATTCAGAGCTGGCTGATGGTGATGCATACTGGAGCTTCTCAGCATCTCTCGCTCTCTTTGTTCCTGTGTCCTTGGCTTTTGTTCAATAAGCCTCTGAGCAGAGCAGCGCTGTATGATCTTCATCTGCCCCCTGGTGGTTCTAACAGAGCACTACATAAAGTACTACACGAGTCAGCTGCCCCCTGGTGGTTCTAACAGAGTACTACATAAAGGTATAGACCAGGGGTCTCCAACAGGTCGACCGGGAGCTACCAGTAGCTCGCCAAACAATTCTGAAAGTACATGCAATTTTTTATGTTTTCCACCGCAAACAATACAAATCTCACAAGTATCAGACAACGCAAGCTACCAGCTTCTGTATAATCAGTGCAACATTGACTTTGTCCCACCCCTGGCTAGCCACCATTTGCTGAAAAAAACCTAACTTAACACAATATCTGCCAATTAATTTCAAGCAATATTGCCCCTGTCTGTCTGTAGCCAGTTGATGTGAGTTGACAGAAATACTTTCCCCAAAACCTTCTCAATTAAATGTTAACTGCAAAGTAGGCTTACCTGGCAGAAGTATATCATGAGTAAGTATACCGAACAAAAATATAAAATATCATGCAACAATTTCAAAGATTTTACTGAGTTACGATTCATATAAGGAAATCAGTCAATTTAAATAAATAAATTAGGTCTTAATCTATCAATTTCACATGACTGGGAATACAGATATGCATCTGTTGGTCACAGATACCTTTAAAAAAGGTAGGGATTGTGGCCTGTGGAATGTTGTCCCACTCCTCTTCAATGGCTGTGAGAAGTTGCTGGATATTGGCAGGAACTGGTACACATCAATTTGGAGCACATGCTCAATGGGTGACATGTCTGGTGAGTATGCAGGCCATGGAAGAACTGGGACTTTTTCAGCTTCCTGGAATTGTGTACAGATCCTTGCGACATGGGTCCTCTGTAGCTCAGCTGGTAGAGCACGGCGCTTGTAACGCCAAGGTAGTGGGTTCAATCCCCGGGACCACCCATACACAAAAAATGTATGCACGCATGACTAAGTCGCTTTGGATAAAAGCGTCTGCTAAATGGCATATTATTATTATTATTATTATTATTATTATTATTATATTATTATTATTATTATCATGCTGAAACATGAGGTGATGGCGGCGGATTAATGGCACAACAATGGGCCTCAGGATCTCGTCACGGTATGTCTGTGCATTCAAATTGCCATCAATAAAATGCAATTGGTTTGTTGTCCGTAGTTTATGCCTGCCCATACCATAACCTCACCGCCACCATAGGGCATCCTGTTCACAACGTTGACATCAGCAAACCGCTCGCCCACACGACGCCATACACGTGGTCTGCCATTTTGAGGCCGGTTGGACATACTGCCAGATTCTCTAAAACGACGTTGGCAGTGGCTTATGGTAGAGAAATGAACATTCAATTTTCTGGCAACAGCTCTGGTGGACATTCCTGCAGTCAGTATGCCAATTGCATACTCCCTCAAAACTTGAGACATCTGTGGCAGTGTGTTGTGTGACAAAACTGCACATTTTAGTGGCCTTTTCATTGTCCCCAGCACAAGGTGCACCTGTGTAATGATCATGCTGTTTAATCAGCTTCTTGATATGCCACACCTGTCAGGTGGATAGATTATCTTGGCAAAGGAAAAATGCTCACTAACAGGGATGTAAACAAATTTGTGCACATCATTTGAGAAAAATAAGCTATTTGTGCTTATAGAAAATGTCTGGAATCTTTTTATTTCAGCTCATGAAACATGGGACCAACACTTTACATGCTGTGTTTATATTTTTGTTCAGTGTATTTCATCTATTATTTGTTAACTTGGCCATGAAATGAGCAGCAACAGTACAGAGCCATCACTAGACCGGCACCTTCCTCACTCCTACTAAGCTATATATCAAATTATTTTAAGACCCCTTGAAGTATATATAAAAAAATATATTGAATAACAGATTCACTACATGGATCAACAGATTTTTTTTTTAATCGAAAGGACGTTTGTTCTGAAGTGTCTGACCTATATCTGAGAGATGTAAGAAAGATCAGAAAACATTTGTTATTTGTATGTATTTAACCCTTTATTTTTGGCACTAAACATATTCTCCATATATACTTCCATTCATTGTTTGAATCTGGTACCGGGGGGACCTTCAGAGGAGTCTTCTGAGGCCTGTGGGCGTCCTAGACCAAACCATGTATGTGTTCATGAGTCACATCTTTCCGTAGAGGGGGTCATAATAGTTTGTAAGCCAAACCGTTCAGACGATTTTGTGAGAAGACCGATTTTCAGGATGTCTCATGGTCTGACAAACACCGCTCTAACTCTGTCACCTTTCACTGCAGATGTGGAAGTGCGACATCTCTGGCTTAAACGGACAGATTTTAATGGGGATTATGCTAATTTGATTTCCGCTGGGGCTCGGACATCGACTCTAGGAGGTTGAAGGAGAAGTTAAATTTTTTACAACCAAATGTCTATGTTTGATGTAAATTGATTGCTTGACTTAGACTGAAATAGGTTCAGGTACTCATTTTGGGTGCTGGTACTGTTTATATTTAGGTGCAGGAGCTCCACAATACTTTTGAGATAATATTCTATAAGAGGAACAGGAGCTCAAGCAGTAGAACATTTGAGATGCCAGCACTCCGCTCCGGTGAACTCCTGTCCAAGTCAAGCACTGTATAAATGGCATTTTATAGAAGGGTCCAGACACCTTTTGTGCTATTTTCGCATGTTTTTACTTACCCCAAACAGCAAATCACTTCCTCATCCTCGTTGGGTAGTATGGGACTGAACAAAGGCTCCGAAAACACCCAAATACATCCTTTTAGAAACTGCAAAGCTCTCAAGGTCTTTTAGATGTTGTATACATCAACTTTATCCGCAACGTTATATTCCATTTTGTTGTGACTCGATCGATACCTCTCTGTCCATTCTACAGGTAACTGCCAAAATAAAGGAAACACTTGTGTAAATGAGGGATACAAAGTATATTGAAAGCATGGGGTTCTTCCACACAGGAAGTTCCAGACACTTGTAGAATCTATGCTAAGGCATTGAAGATCTTCCGGCAGCTCGTGGTGTTTCCTTTATTTTGGCAGTTACTTGTAGCAGCAGGCCACACAGCGAATGGAACAGCTGGATAGGGGAAATGGCTCGTCATGCAAAAGGGAATATAACATTGCGGATAAAGTTCTGAATGGCACAATTTCATGTGTACAACATCTAAAGACCTCCGTCACTATACTGAGAGCGTTGCCATTTCTAAAAGGACGTTTTGGGGTGTTTTTGGAGACTTTGTTCATGTTGTACCACACAACAAGAATAAGGAAGTGATTTGCTGTTTTGGGTAAGTTTCTCAAAAACGTGAAAACTTCTCCCTTAAGCCTTATACAAGTCTTGGTCCATCAGTGCAGTGCATATAAAGGAAGGACTATTAGAGGATGTAGGACTATTGCGATGCACCAAATGTAAACAGTACAATAGTCTAGTGGTATGTGGTTGGGTAGCTAGGTGACCAAGCAGGATATATAGAAGACTGTAGTGATGAGGCTCTACCACTAGGAGGAGACTGTAGTGATGAGGCTCTACCACTAGGAGGAGACTGTAGTGATGAGCCTCTCCCTCTAGGAGGAGACTAGTGATGAGGCTCTACCACTAGGAGGAGACTGTAGTGATGAGGCTCTACCACTAGGAGGACACTGTAGTGATGAGGCTCTACCACTAGGAGACTGTAGTGATGAGGCTCTACCTCTAGGAGGAGACTGTAGTGATGAGGCTCTACCACTAGGAGGAGACTGTAGTGATGAGGCTCTACCACTAGGAGGACACTGTAGTGATGAGGCTCTACCACTAGGAGGAGACTGTAGTGATGAGGCTCTACCACTAGGAGGAGACTGTAGTGATGAGGTTCTACCACTAGGAGGAGACTGTAGTGATGAGGCTCTACCACTAGGAGGAGACTGTAGTGATGAGGTTCTACCACTAGGAGGAGACTGTAGTGATGAGACTCTACCACTAGGAGGAGACTGTAGTGATGAGGCTCTACCTCTAGGAGGAGACTGTAGTGATGAGGCTCTACCACTAGGAGGAGACTGTAGTGATGAGGCTCTACCACTAGGAGGAGACTGTAGTGATGAGGCCCTACCTCTAGGAGGAGACTATAGTGATGAGGCTCTACCACTAGGAGGAGACTGTAGTGATGAGGCTCTACCACTAGGAGGAGCCTGTAGTGATGAGGCTCTACCACTAGGAGGAGACTGTAGTGATGAGGCTCTACCACTAGGAGGAGACTGTAGTGATGAGGCTCTACCACTAGGAGACTGTAGTGATGAGACTCTACCACTAGGAGGAGCCTGTAGTGATGAGGCTCTACCTCTAGGAGACTGTAGTGATGAGGCTCTACCACTAGGAGACTGTAGTGATGAGGCTCTACCACTAGGAGGACACTGTAGTGATGAGGCTCTACCTCTAGGAGGAGACTGTAGTGATGAGGCTCTACCTCTAGGAGGAGACTGTAGTGATGAGGCTCTACCTCTAGGAGGAGACTGTAGTGATGAGGCTCTACCACTAGGAGGAGACTGTAGTGATGAGGCTCTACCACTAGGAGGAGACTGTAGTGATGAGGCTCTACCTCTAGGAGGAGACTATAGTGATGAGGCTCTACCACTATGAGGACACTGTAGTGATGAGGCTCTACCACTAGGAGACTGTAGTGATGAGGCTCTACCACTAGGAGGAGACTGTAGTGATGAGGCTCTACCACTAGGAGGAGACTGTAGTGATGAGGCTCTACCTCTAGGAGGAGACTGTAGTGATGAGGCTCTACCACTAGGAGGAGACTGTAGTGATGAGGCTCTACCACTATGAGGACACTGTAGTGATGAGGCTCTACCACTAGGAGGAGACTGTAGTGATGAAGCTCTACCTCTAGGAGGAGACTGTAGTGATGAGGCTCTACCACTAGGAGGAGACTGTAGTGATGAGGCTCTACCACTAGGAGGAGACTGTAGTGATGAGGCTCTACCACTAGGAGGAGACTGTAGTGATGAGGCTCTACCTCTAGGAGGAGACTGTAGTGATGAGGCTCTACCACTAGGAGGAGACTGTAGTGATGAGGCTCTACCTCTAGGAGGAGACTGTAGTGATGAGGCTCTACCACTAGGAGGAGACTGTAGTGATGAGGCTCTACCACTAGGAGGAGCCTGTAGTGAAGAGGCTCTACCACTAGGAGACTGTAGTGATGAGGCTCTACCACTAGGAGGAGACTGTAGTGATGAGGCTCTACCACTAGGAGACTGTAGTGATGATGCTCTACCTCTAGGAGGAGACTGTAGTGATGAGGCTCTACCACTAGGAGGAGACTGTAGTGATGAGGCTCTACCACTAGGAGGAGACTGTAGTGATGAGGCTCTACCACTAGGAGACTGTAGTGATGAGACTCTACCACTAGGAGGAGACTGTAGTGATGAGGCTCTACCACTAGGAGGAGACTGTAGTGATGAGGCTCTACCACTAGGAGGAGACTGTAGTGATGAGGCTCTACCACTAGGAGGAGACTGTAGTGATGAGGCTCTACCACTAGGAGGAGACTGTAGTGATGAGGCTCTACCTCTAGGAGGAGACTGTAGTGATGAGGCTCTACCACTAGGAGGACACTGTAGTGATGAGGCTCTACCACTAGGAGGAGACTGTAGTGATGAGGCTCTACCACTAGGAGGAGACTGTAGTGATGAGGCTCTACCACTAGGAGGAGACTGTAGTGATGAGGGTCTACCACTAGGAGGAGACTGTAGTGATGAGGCTCTACCACTAGGAGGAGACTGTAGTGATGAGGCTCTACCTCTAGGAGGAGACTGTAGTGATGAGGCTCTACCACTAGGAGGAGACTGTAGTGATGAGGCTCTACCTCTAGGAGGAGACTGTAGTGATGAGGCTCTACCACTAGGAGGACACTGTAGTGATGAGGCTCTACCACTAGGAGGAGACTGTAGTGATGAGGCTCTACCACTAGGAGGAGACTGTAGTGATGAGGCTCTACCTCTAGGAGGAGACTGTAGTGATGAGGCTCTACCACTAGGAGGACACTGTAGTGATGAGGCTCTACCACTAGGAGGACACTGTAGTGATGAGGCTCTACCACTAGGAGGAGACTGTAGTGATGAGGCTCTACCACTAGGAGGAGACTGTAGTGATGAGGCTCTACCACTAAGAGGACACTGACTAGTCATACGCTGACTATATGGCATGTTATTGCAGTGTTAATTTTGGCACTATTATTTTTTTGATTTAGTCTAGTTTTAGTCATTTTGACTAAAATGTCAAGTCTGTCACATTTTTGTCATTTGAATAATGACAAAAACAGTGGGCCATTTTAGTCAACTAAATGCCCTTTCATTTTAGTCACATCGCATTTGTATTGCCTCATTAACCTATAGTAAACATAAATCACTGACTTCCATGTGCACAAACATACATATCCTTGTCCTACCAACAGATTTGCAGATAGACATTTCAAGAATAGAACTAATGTTATTCCTTATTCAACATGTCAGAGAGGCATGTTTGTTCTACATAGCATATTTCTATCTGAACGTTCCAAAACGTTGCATCCTGCTGAATGCAGCCCAGGTTGTTAGCTATAGCTAGCTAATGAGGTAACGTGATTGAGCAAGGTGTAGCCTGAACAAATGGTTAACGGTCTGGTCCACAAGTAGCCTAGTTTTAGAATGGCCCACGATAGGCTTTATGAATGTATGATAGAAAGACAAAAACATAGCGCAGGGAGGCTATTATGTGTCATGTCTGAAAAGCTCTCAATCTCTCCCAAAAACTCATTGTAATTTTATTTTTTATTTTTGGGGGATCTATTTAGTCAGTTAAAGTCTCATCAATTACCACTGAAAAATAGGTGTTTCACAAATATTTTAGTCACTATTTTTGTTGATGAAATGAACACTGCTATGGTACTACATTAGGACTGAGAGGAAGGATGTTACCCTTCTACATGTCTTGGCTGTTGGACCTATGTTTCATCTCTCTCGCTCTCTCTTTCTGTGTGTGTGTGTGTGTGTGTGTGTAGGATACACTACAGCGGGTACTCCGTATAAAGTGCCCCCCACCCAGACGAACGGAGCCCCCCCACCCTACTCCCCCTCCCCCAACCCCTACCAAACAGCCATGTACCCAATCAGAAGTGCCTACCCGCAGCAGAGCATGCAGAACCTGCAGAGCATGCAGAACCTGCAAAACTTGTATGCACAGGTAAGCACACATACCCTTCACACACACACACACACCCACCCTACTCCACCAACTCCTACCCTCAGCAGCTTCCAAACAAACACACACACACCTATACACAATCCTAACCTCAGCAGACACACACCCTACTCCCTCAACGTCTACCCTCAGTAGAACCTTTACGTACTGATAAGCACACTCACACCCTAACCTCTCTCTCTGTCTCCCTGTAGGCAGCAGCGTATTATGGCCAGCCAGTGTATGCGGCTCAGCCATATGTAAATCAACAACACTACTCACATAAACACACACACATAAACACACACACACAGACACACACTAACACAGACACACTCTGACCTCTGTCTCTGTGTCCCCTGTAGGCTTATTACACGCAGCCAGTGTATGCGGCTCAGCCTCAGCCCCATGTCATCCACCACACCACCGTGGTTCAGCCAAACAGCATGCCCTCAGCCCTCTACCCCGCCCCTGTCCAAGCCCCTAGAAACAATGGAATGGCTGCCATGGGGATGGTTGCTGGGACCACCATGGCTATGAGTGCAGGTAGGATTGATGACTGAGGAAGCTGATGTAGCTAGATCATGTATTGTCATATTAAACACCTTTTTAAATGTATTTTATTTAATTTCCTATGCTTAATTGATTATGCTTAAGTTATGCTAAAATTATGTTGCTGTTGTGTGTTTTTGGTGTAAGTTGTATTAGTTTGGTCGGCGCCATATTGACCCTAAACGTTGCGGTCAAAACAATAGTGACAAAATGACATCTTACACTGATGACGCGTATCGTCCTGTAGGAACCCTGCTGACCACGCCCCAGCATGCTCAGCTGGGAGCGCACCAACACGTCACCATGCCACAGTACCGGCCCCAGGGCACACCTGGATACAGCTATGTCCCCCCCCACTGGTAGACCACCCCCCGAGAAGTAAGTCATGTGACTAGCACTCCTTTACTAGCGCTCTCGCTTTCTCTCGCTTTCCTTATCGCTCTCTTGTTCTCTTCGCTCAGACTTTTCCAAGTCATTTTATAATTCCAAATGTCCACATTCCACTCGCAATCAATCCAATGTCTTCTCACTCTTTCTCTGTGTCTGTCTCTGTCATTTCAGATCTGGAGTCCAACATCGTATGCAACTACTCAAGTCTTAAACAGGCTTCTTATGGTCACCATGGCAACCTCACATCTGTCTGCAACAACTAAACTAAAGAGCAACGGACACTTGCTGCATTCTGTAGTGTTTTATAAAAGCTGCTTTTTAATTTTTTTTACTCAACGATTATTTTCTTCTCCTTTGATTTGCCAATATGTCATGTCATTACATTGTTTTATTTTGTTTGTTTTATTTCATTTTTTTAGATCATTTACATTTTTCCATCGTCATTGGAACTCCAGAGTGATTGACCAGTCATGGGTGTCTGTTGCTCTGATTGTGGTCCGGGTTCTGCTGTGGGTTCCAGTGGTGGGAATGTACTGTGCACTTCCTCCATCATCACGCCATCATCACGCCATCATCATCAATTTATGCTGCCAAATTTTCTAACGATTAGATGTCAGCACAGGGTTTTGATTTCATTTATTTCGATTTGTTTTAATCCCTTACTTTTCCTTTCCAACAAAGCACTGTCTTGGAACAGCATACCTGTTGTTTTCTCCTTTACGTCCTCTGTTCCACTTCTCCTTCTGATCTTCAGTTCATCTTCTGATAACAAGGGTCTTCCAGCTTATAGCTGTTTCTTAGATAGATCTGTAACGTCTAGATCCGCTGTCTGACTAGATCTGTAACGATTCGATTTGTAACGACTAGATCCGCTGTCTGACTAGATCTGCTATCTGACTAAATCTGTAGCGACTAGATCTGCTGTGTGGCTGTTAAGACGTGGTATGCAGCATCACAAGGGCCACAGTACTTACAGTTACTGAATTCATCTCAATCTAGAGGCCGTTTATGTTCATTTAGCTTAAACCGATAAATTATAAAATGTGAATATATTTATATAGCTGTACAGGATGTGTGGTCATGCAAACAGTCACCCAATTACACATACACACACACCACACACACATACATACACACACACCACACACACATACATACACACACACCATACATACACACACACCATACATACACACACACATACATACACACACACCACACACACACACATACACACACATCACACACACATACATACACACATACCACACACACATACATACACACACACCACACCACACACACATACATACACACACACCACACACACATACATACACACACACCACACACACATACATACACACACACCACACACATACATACACACACACCACACCACACCACACACATACATACCACACCACACACACACCACACACACATACATACACACACACCACACACACATACATACACACACACCACACACACATACATACACACACACCACACACACATACATAATACACACGTAAAGCAGGATCACTTAATGTCAATAAAATAATCATACATGGAATCAAATGTGTGCCAACACAGTTAAACACACACATATACATATGCTCACACACACACACACACAAACTTACACTCTCACACACACACACACACACACACACACACACACACACACACACACACACACACACACACACACTACATTAGACCACCACTCGGACTGATAGCGTATTGACGAACATTTTTTAGGAGTGAAAGGGATGTGGAAGCACTGGGCAGGGTGACGTGGCAGAGGAGGGGAGTGGTGGGTCCAGAGGGGAGTGGTGGGTCCGGAGGGGAGTGGTTGGTCCGGAAGGGAGTGGTTGGTCCGGAGGGGAGTGGTTGGTCCAGAGGGGAGTGGTTGGTCCGGAGGGGAGTGGTTGGTCCGGAGGGGAGTGGTTGGTCCGGAGGGGAGTGGTTGGTCCGGAAGGGAGTGGTTGGTCCGGAAGGGAGTGGTTGGTCCGGAGGGGAGTGGTTGGTCCGGAGGGGAGTGGTTGGTCCGGAGGGGAGTGGTTGGAGTGGTGGGTCCGGAGGGGAGTGGTGGGATCCGCAGGGGAGTGGTTGGTCCGGAGGGGAGTGGTGGGTCCGGAGGGGAGTGGTGGGATCCGGAGGGGAGTGGTGGGATCCGCAGGGGAGTGGTGGGTCAGGCCAGAAGAGACGAGAAAGCAGCAGGGAACAGTGTGTGTGCCATGTTTCAGGGTTTTAATAGATGAGTATGAACCACAGTTAGGATCTGTGGGGCACGGGTCATTACAAAGCATTTACGGTGTATCGAAGTAGATCAAGTCGTTAATTGCAATAAGAGGAAATGCCTCGTTATACGGTTACCGCACAGTAATTATTTTATAGTCATTTTGAATTAAGATCATTTTTTAATCCTTATTCTGGTCATCTTTAAATCTGGATTATGGGCTGTGTATCCAGCTTCAATCCCTTTTAATCACTGTTACTGTATTCTGAGGTGGTAGCAGTACATATCAGAGTTATTGTAATAATCGCACAAGGAAACGTTGCACAATAAAAAACCTGACAACAATAATTTATACTAGGTACCAGGTAGCTAGGCTTTGTAGTGAAACAGAGGCAGTTTAAACTGTCATTTAAGAAAACAAAACAATAGATATCAAGCATTCAGTAAGGTTTCCTTAGTCCTAATAATGTTTGTACTATTTAGTGTAATTCTCAACAAAAGAAAATGGCTTATTGTTGTTCATGAGCATTTATTTAATCAACCACTGTTTCAGTGTTGTTTCACATTGAGGTTAAGAGAAAAAAATGGCGTGTTTTTCCTTCCGTGGTCTTTTGAGCATAAGGAAGGTTGATATTCAGGTGTAGTGTAGCATCATGTAGTGTAGCATGGAGCGTCATGCATCACTATGCAGTCTGTTTATACACTACTGCAAAGCATGCTTGAATCAACATTAAGATATCCACCACCTTTAGAATCTAAAACCAGAGGATGAAGGAAGGAAGGAAGGAAGGAAGGAAGGAAGGAAGGAAGGAAGGAAGGAAGGAAGGAAGGAAGGAAGGAAGGAAGGAAGGAAGGAAGGAAGGGGGAGAGAGCGAGGGTAATGTCTGATTTCTGTCTTTCCCTCTCGGTGGTGTATTTTAGTAAATGTTGTTTAAGTCACTCGTAAATCCAGTTGTTGGTCTTTCTCAAATTCCAAACATGATCTGTCTGAAAATATTTTCCTTACGTCAAGTCTAATGTAATAATTAGTTACTAATGACCTCCACATCCTGCCATCGGGGGTGGAACTGGTCTGATTCTGTATCACTCTTCCTCGATTTTACTCTGTCTGTCTGTGGCTCTGTGTTCCAGCTCTCTTCTTTCTCTTTCTCTCTCTCTCACCCCTTTAAGCGCTGGTAAAAGCAGCCCTCGGCACCTCTTCATAACAGAGATAAAGTGATGACACAGGTCATGAGACGTGAAGTGTAATGGCAGACTGGAACCATGTAGATGACAGTAACCAGGACTGTTTCATGTAATCCAATCTAATCCTATCTGAGGTTGGGCTCTGGATGTGGTGTCACTAACCCACCAGAGTCTGGTGTCCAGTCTGACATCAACCTCTACCTACACATGGCATGTAGATCTGAGAGGGTTGGATGTGTTGAAGCAAGATGGTTGTTCAACTCTACTGAACGTACCAGAATGCTACTGTAGGTGGCGCTATTAACGTGTTGCTTAAACCCATCTGATGCTTTAAGAGCAACTAATAAGGGGATGATTTTGGAATGGGCAAAGGAATTTCCTCCAGTATTCTACACCTCAGCCTAAAATAGGAAACAGAATGTTGGACTTCCTTAGCCATGTAAAGTTGAGGGCTTTTTACTATAAGTGTTATTTAAGGTTTTAACTGCAATTTGGTGTTTATTATTCATACATAGAGCCTCAGAGGGTCCGTTAACACACACACTCCGAGGGGGCTTGTCTTTGCATGCCTGTGTTTTTGATGGGAGTGATGTCATGAAGAGGGTTCGGCTCAATTCCATTTAAACTCCGTCCTTTCAGGAAGGGAACTGAATTTCAACTCATTGGAAATCGAATTGACCTCAACCCTGATTAACACGTAACTGTAGAGCTCAAAGGAGGATATATTTAAAGGTATTTCGACTCCTACTCTTATCAACTTATGAGTCCTTCAACTTTTGTATCATTCCATCTCTGAATAAGTTTCCAAAAATGTGAAAGAAGTTAAGGATCCTTTAAGAGAGGTAGCCTAGTGGGTAAGAGCGTTGTGCCAGTAACCGAAAGGTTGCTGGTTCTAATCCCCAAGCTGACTAGGTGAAAAATCTGTCGATGTGCCCTTAAGCAAGGCACTTAACCCTAATTGCTCCTGTAAGTAGCTCTGGATAAGAGCGTCTGCTAAATGACTAAAATGTAAAGATGTTAAAGGTTTATGTTTTTGTGTATTTTACTTTTCTTCACAACTATGTCAAATCAAAATGGCGTTTATGTTCATATACACCCTCAAACACCCACTTCTCTTTCTCTCTCTCTTCTTTTGCCTCTGATCATGTCTTAGCAGTTTCCTCAAATTAAAACACTACTATTGGAGAATAGTCAACTTATTTTTGTGTTTTTTCCTCAATGTTCTGCAGCTTTTTATTTCACTTGTTGGAGATTTCTAAAATAAAATAATTTGAACACTAAATGTGATGCAAAAAGTGGAAATTCCTCGTCTTCCAAAATACTTTTATCCCTGGAGCGAGTTTAGGAACAACCCCCTTGAAGTTTTGTACCCAGTTTGCACAAACAATGGTAACATTACCATACCGTTGTGGCAAATTATGGCACAACGTTTTCTCAACGTTGCTTGAACTGAATTGTATGTTAGCTATTGGTCCAGTGTTGCGGACCCATGTCAGGCTTGTGATATGAAGTGTAAATCTGTTTTTAATTTCTTTTATGT